ATTCTGCACACTTGCTGAATTCTATTATCATTGAATTCTGCACACTGCACACGACTAGATCACACTCGTCACACTGATTTCAGCACTTGTTGTTGCTGAAAATTGTACTCTTTACACCACAAACCCTACTTCTACGACTACCTGAAATCTCACCACTATATGATCACAACTATTCATTCGAAATACACAAAAACAGCATAAACCCTAACACGCTACTGTCTGAAACCCCAACATATGATCTGAAACATACTTCCTATTTGATCCATAATGGAAATCATGCATAGAAATCTCTTACCTTATCAGTGAAGGAACAACCACACGAGCAGAAAATCAGCCCACACAAGACAACCACTGCACCAGACAGATCGACCCTCTTCTCTTCATTGATTAGGGGAGGGCTTCTTAGAAATCACAGCAACCGACCACACAAGACACGACTGGAGGCATAGAAACCTCCAAGGGGAGAGGGTGATCACTCCTTTTCAGCCCTTTCCCTTATCTCCAGTTGAATGTAGGAAAATTAAGAGAAACCCTAGATTGGGTGCGCAAAGAATAGAAATCTAGGCAGATTCGAGTGGCTCTGATACCATGTTATGATTCGGCCTGCCTTGGAGTTCTATTTGTCTGAGATCAGTCACGTAGAGAGAGGTTGAAAGGTGGAAGAAAGAGAGAGAGAGAAAATGAGAAAGTTTGGTTCGAACTGGAAGTCAAAAAACCTAACACCCATTCGGCCAGACATGCGCTTTTTTATTAAAAAAATGGAAAAGACATATGTGCCCTTATTTAAGGAGCACTGGTTCTAACATAATATTACAGATCAACAACCTTAATATAAGTATAAAGATAGAAATACCCCTACGCTAACAGTGGCCTTCATTAACAAGCTGACCTATTGAAATAAGGTTTGTGGTGAGATTAGGGACAAAGAAGGTCTTGGTAAGGGAGAAAGAAGTGGAGGGTGAAAGCTTTAGGAACAAATTATTACTACCAATGATGCTCAAATTTTCACCATTGGTAGTAATGATATGTTTATGATGGATCATAGTATAATTACTTGAGGGTTTAGGATAGGAGAAGAGGAAAAACATTAACTAGAAAACTCACCAGATAAGCCAATAACAAAGAAAACGGAAGAGATAGTAGAAGAATCATACTTGGTGGAAGTGATATAAGAAGTCTGGCCCTCAGTCACCTGGTATGGACAAGGCTGGTTCTTCTTTTGAACACCCTTAGTTGGCCGAATAGGGCAATCCAGAATAATGTGACCATGTTGCTTACAGTAAGTACACACATTTTTCTTCTTACAATGAGAAGCAATATGATCAAATCCTTTACAATCGTAGCATTAGACCTTTAAGAAATCCTTAGTAGCTGGCTTCTTACTCTCATGTGCAACAAAGTTAGTATCAACCTTGGGATCTATTAGTTTTTCATCAATACAAGCAGCAGTCAGAAGTCTAGTATCCTACCTCTGTAGTTCTCCCATCACGGAATCCAAATATGGAAGGGTGCTTCTACTCAAAATATTAGACCTTATTATTTCAGACTCAGGTCTAAGCTTCATAAGGAACCAGTTCACCTTTCTCTTCTCAAAGTGCTTTTGATGATACTTGACCCACTCTGAGGAGTCCGAGGGATCAATATGAACTAGTTCATATTCTGCCCACAAGTCAAGGAAGCCAGCATAGTATTCTGGTATCTTCTTATCCCCTTGACGGTAAGTAAATAGTTCAGACTCAATTTGATATCGTCTTGACATACATCTCATAGGTACAACAATGTGAGATACAATCGAACTTGGAATCCAGGAAACTATTTTTCCACTGTCCAACTTCCATTGCGAAAAGGCGCTGGTATCAGTTTCATCAGGTTTAGTAATTGTCCTATTCAAATAACTTTCCGGGCCTTTTCCTTAAACAAAGAAATCGAAATGGAACTTCCGCATGCTGTAGTTAGTTCCATCAAATTTTACTGAAATAATATCAACCTTTTCAGCCATTGCAGATAAAAAATACAGTCAAAGAAACAGAATGGCAACACTGAAACTGATTTCTCAAGGTGATTAACCAGTTAAACTTGATCAAGAAATAGTCCAAACACTATAGTGAATATCACAGCACCCGAACAAACAAAGAAGATTTCTCAAAGAAAAAACCCTAACAGCAAAGCTGAAATGATGAAATAGAGAAAATAGGAGTGAAATCAAGACCAACAAGGGAATATAATAAATCTACTTCAGTCCAAAGAGCAAGAGAGGTGTTCCACCATAGAGAGAAATTGAAGTTATCCAAAAAAAAAAAACAAAAAACAAAAAACGAAAAACAAAACAAACTTTAACAAATGGATACTTAGTGTTGACAGTCCGAAAAAGGCAAGTTTCAGGACTGTCGAACTAAGAAAGGGATCAAAAACCCTATAGAACCGATCTAAAAACTGAACCAAGTGATTGAGAAGCAAGAAGACCCTAGAGTGACACCAAATCTAGAGTCCCAAGTGGATTGAATCAGCTAATTAACAGGAAGAGAAGATTTACCAACCTGTTAGGTGTCTTTTCCAGGAAAACTGAGGTGTTTTGTGCTGATTGAAACAGTCCTAAAAAGTCCTCCAAACAAGAGCTCGATAAAGATGTTAAAGACCTCGGGATTACCCATTTACCCTCCAAACTGGTATAAATAACTGAGATCACAAGCTGGTATAGATGATCTGCTCTGATACCATGTCACTTTACCAGTTTGAACAAGAAAGAGAACACCGGAAGTCAGGGGTGCCAAATGAATCAATTGATCCCCACCCCCCAAAAGCCTTTCATATATTAGAATATGTACAATTACAAGAAAGCACTTATAGAGCTGAAAGAGAGAAAAATATAAGAATAAGATACAATACAACAGAGACTATTATAATATGATACATTAAATTTCTCCACAATTGAAACCCTCTCACTACATCAATGATTTCTTTATGTGATTGTCCATTATGTATTACTTGTATATGCCTGTTATGCTGGCTAAATTTGATTAAGACAACCAGTAAGTAAAAGTTAGACTTTGTGGATTTTCTGGGTCAGCACATAGGGCTTGCAAATGAAAATAAAAAGAAGTACTGAAGTTCCCTTTTTAGAGCTGGAATGCGAAATAAGACAGATGGAGTAATTTGGTGGATTAGTTTCTTGTCTTGTGTGTTACATAGGGTTTGGTGGCTATTTTCCTGCATTAAGTTATGATCATATTATTTATTTATTTTGATTTGTGTAAGTTTTTCTTCTGTAGAAATCTGCTAGTTGAGAAAATTTCATTTTTCCCTTGATTGGATGTACAATTGAGTTAACATCTCCCTGTATTCTTCACGTAAGGTGCTTGTCAAGAATGTTGAGACAAATGTACAGAGGATTGGTAGAGTTCTTGTTCTGGATCCACCTGATACAGTAACTGAAGAATGCCAATCTGAGATTGATCTCTCTGTTTCCCAATCTTCTAGTGCAATGGTTGTTTTTCCTTCTTATACCTTTCATCGAAACCATCACATGCCTTCAGATCAAGGAACTGCTTATCTCTCTCCTGTCTTTGCATTTAACCTTGACTTGCACGTATCATGCCTAAAATTTCTCATTCAGGAGGGATATGAAACCTTAGCTACATTTTTTGAAGTCAAGGAAGACAAACTGAAAAAGAAGGACATTGTAACTTCCTCTGTTAGTGTAGAAGTGACAGCCTGGGTTCATGTACCACGATTTGCCTCACACCTAAGAACTTCCTTTGTGAAGATACCAGAATGTGGTACCCTCAAGTCTCTCAAGGGAGATTCCCCTTTTGAAGCTGAAGATCGTCAAGAAATGATTGATTCAGCATTGCACAATTACTTCAAAGTTGATAGGTATATTGCTAGAGGTGATGTTTTTTACATCCACATCAATTGGAATTGCAAATCAGAGATGTGCATCCTGTGTAGCCAAAGGACTTCTGACAATTCCATGGACAATATAATTTACTTCAAGGCAAGTTTACCCTTTCTTTTTGTTTATATTTATAAGACCACTAACCACCTAGGAAATATGTAGATATGTCATTTTCTTATAGATGGAATTTCTTATTAGGCCATGGCCATGGAGCCAGCAGATGAAGCCCTCCTTTGTGTGAATTGTAATCAAACAGCTCTGGTTCTTGGAGGCAGTGTGGCTTCAGCTGTTCCCCCTGAGTTATTGGTTGGTGGCTCCCAAGGCTTAATGCCCTTGCAAGGGGACATTGTGAAGACTTTGGCGTCTGTTCTTACTCCACCTTTGTGCCCATCGGCTCTTTCTTCAAAATTCAGAATTTCCGTTTTTTTATATGGTTCAACAGGTGATTATATGTTTTATGATTCATCATTTCTGTTCAAAATATAGGAATCTCTGTTCTTCGTAGGCTTGATAAACTTTGAATTATATATTCTTTTCATTAAGCTGCATTTAATTCAATCATCTCTTGCAACAAAACAGACTTCTAGACCTGTAGAGAGAAGATACTTGATCTTACAAGTAGAAAAGTTGTTGAGGGTGTAGGACTGGTGTGATCCAAGGTTGGACTGATAACAAATTTGATGGAAACCGAAAACTAAATGATGATGGTAAAGGAGTTATGTCCAAGGTTTGGGACTGAGAGGCCAAGAGTAGGACTAGGGAAGGTGGATAAGGGGTTGTCTAAGGTTATATGGCTTCATGAAATGATTAGGAGGTTAGTTTAGTGCTCAAATTCCTGCAAGATGCAGAAATTTCTAGAGAGAGAAAACAGAGAAATTTCAATATCTCAAGATTGGAATGGAATTTCTTTAAATTGTTTTAGAGGAAAGGTCATGTAGGTGAACCAAAGTAGGGGATTGAATTTTGAGAGGTTTTAAGAAGACTGGGCACAGAAGGACGAGATTTCTCAAAATTAGAAACTTTTGAGTAAAGCCTTAGATATGGCGGGTGGCTTATTCAGATCTGGGTTTCACCAAGATTTGGTAGGGAAGCTTTACAGAGACAAGTTTCTCTCTCTAGAAAGGTGTATGGGTGTTAATTATTGAAGGGGTAGAGAGGAAACTTACATAGGATCAATCCAGTCCTTTAATCAATGTTGAATGATGGTTTCTGATTGCTTTCACCCAAGTACTTGCTTGCTGTGCGTGGCTGAGCTCAAAACCTTGAGAGAGAAGACAAGGGGGGGGGGTGCTCCTAGGGCTCCTAGAATCACTCTGGGGTGTGGATATCACTCACCACAGGTCACACAAGCATAAGATAAACTCCAATACTCATTGCTCACGTTTTGCGACTTTACACAAATATATAGACTGTCTAGGATCAGCCAAACTACTCTCTAAATTAGAAAAACTCAACATTACAATTCTGCCACTCATAAATCAACTTAAAGAAAAGCTAAGTAGCTCTTAAGCTACTTAACCAATGACTGAAAATTTAAACATGACTCAATTATGAACATCTCACACTAACAAGCTCTGGACCCACATGCAATAGTTAAAATGGTTAAAATCCCCTACTGTCCAAAAATTAAAGAATACATAGAAATTCAAAAAATTCCAAGTTTAACTCTTCAGCTCCTGCATCACTTTGTAGCTTACCTTTATGTTGGAGGTTTGATAGTAGTAAATCAGTACCTTGCTTGGAATGAGGCTTTACTTGGAAAATGGCTGTGGAGGCTGCCAAGGGAAGAGGACAAATTATGGGCTAAGGTGATTGTGTGCATTCATGGGCAAATGGCAGATGGCTGGGATGCTGGAGTTCTAGCTAGGGCTACAGGAGCTTTTCCTTGGAAATTTGTACATGCCAACATGCCATTCTTCTTTCTTTCTTGCCATGCATCAGGTATGACCTATGTTCTGGAAACCGGGTGAAATTTTGGGAACATATTTGGGTGGGAGATGTAAGCTTGACAGAACAATTTTCTTCTTTGTATTCCATTTCTTTGTTTAAAAATGAGCTTGTGTCCACCTTTGTGGTACCTTTAGATTCATTTCTTGGTTTTGATTGGGATTTGGGTTTGAGAAGGGGCCTTGAGAGATGCTGAAGTTTAACCAAGTTTCTGCCTTAATTCAGACCTTGAGTGGAGTTGTCTTGGGCTTAGGGAGAAGGGGTGGTAGACTTTGGACTCTGACCTCTTCTAGTGAGTTTTCTTGTGCATCCTTTTTTAAGGTCTTAACACAGCAATCTAATGGCTTGGGTATAGACTTTCTAGTTTTGGAAGTTTGGGGCAAACCTTTTCCCCCAAGGATTGGTGCGTTTTGTTGGGAAGCTTTTCTGGGAAGATGTAACACTTGTGACTTGCTTCAGAGAAAAAGGCCTAATTGGTGCCTATCTCCTAATTGGTGCATCCTTTGTAAGGCAAATGGTGAGAGCTGCTATCACTTACTAATCTCCTGCTCTCTTGTTTCATATACTTGGGAATGTTTTTTCTTTTTGTTTGGTTGCAGATGGACGCCCCCACCAGATGTACAAAGCTTGTTTGCCTCTTCCTTTTTTCAGGTGGCCAAAGAAGATGGTCAGAATTCTTTGGAGATGTGTTAGAGCTGCCATATGCTGGACAATTTGGGAGGAAAGAAATTCAAGGATTGTTAATGAAAAGGAGAGGAATAAGGAGGTCATTATTGAAACAGTTACTATTAGAGTGGTGCATTGGGTGAAATCTCTAGGAATGTTTGAGAATATCTCCACAGATATGCTGGACAGTTTGGGAGGAAAGAAATTCAAGGATTGTTAATGAAAAGGAGAGGAATAAGGAGGCCATTATTGAAACAGTTACTATTAGAGTGGTGCATTGGGTGAAATCTCTAGAAATGTTTGAGAATATCTCCACAGATATGATGAGAAGAAATTGGAAGGAAGTGGCCAACTCAGCCGCTGCTAAAACCAAGACTAGTGACTAGTCCCCTTTTGTTTCCCCCAGCCTCTGGTTTTACTAAGCTGAACTTTGATGGGAGTAGTGAAGGTAATACGGGGCCTTCTGGAATTGAAGGAACCTTCAGGAATGAAGATGTGAAAGTCATTGCTCTATTTTCTGGTCCTATTGGTGTAGGCGATTCACTTCGAGCTGAGATCCTGGTTGTGATGGAAGGAATGAAGAAGGCAAAAGAGCTGGGCTGCGGAAAGCTCATTATTGAAGGGGATTCAAAACTGGTTATAGGATGGCTACAAAAAGAGAAGATTGGTCTATGGAAGTTTGTTAATGAAAAAAGAATGTTCAACCGGCTAGCACAAAGTTTGGAGATTCAGTTACAATGGGTAAAAAGATGTGCTAACTCTTTTGCGGATACCCTTGCTAAACATAGGGTGGGAAGGGAACAATTGTTTTGGGCCATTTTGTAATTGAATTGTATTTGTTTCTTGGGGAGGGTTAAGAGAGTTTACCCCTCCCTAGTCCTTTGTACTTCCATTATTCTTAATGAAAGTGTCTGTTATTGATCGAATAAAAAGGTGATCTATGGGTCTCTTGGGTGTAAACAACCTGCCTAGATACACACCAACTTAAACAATTGACCCTTCCAAGAAAATGAAGACGATCCTAAGAATTAAGGGTTATCCTTGAATTTCTTATAATCCTCATTTTCTTGGAAGGGTCAATTGTTAAGTTGGTGTTCACCTTGGCAGATTGTTTCAATTCCTTTGTTCTGGAGTGGGGCTCCTTCCTACCTCTGTTGATTTGATCTGTGTTTTGTAGCAAGGGAATTAGAAGAAAAGAAGTGAAAATGAAAATAAAAGAAAGGAAACTTTGAATTTTTTCTGTTTGGTTGTACAAAAATGCAAGATAAAATAGCTCTTTGATTGTTTTTACTAATAAAAATGCGAGAAAAACTGATCTCATGTAAATATATTTTTATAGCCTCGTTGGAACTAATTAACCATTAGAAAGACCCATGATTGCGGCTCTCCTAGTTATCCATTAGATGCACATAGTGCTTGAACCCCAGTTTTCCACTTAATTGGGTATGCATGTCTTTGAATATCATTCCTGCACCAACCAATTGACCTAGAAATTGCAGCTAATTAATATGACCAATACTTTCCATTCTGGAAACCTTTCCTGCTGTTGTATTCATCTTCAAAGTCAAGCATATCTTATTTGTTGTATGCCCTTATAACAATTTCTTTTGATAAGTAAACTTGGAAATTTTATTGAAGGAAAAAAAAAAACCCACAAGCATTACAAGGGACCTTAGGAGAGGTGTGAGGTGCAGCCTCTCACAGAGCACAAAAGACAAATTACAATCGATCCCTATTAACCCCCTGTTTGGCTAGTATATCAACTATCCCATTAGCCGTTCTTCTTTCCCAATGAATTCTTAAAGTCATATTGCTGGTAAGCCATTTGAATCTTTTGATTTCATGATTTCAAGGCCCATATTACTTACTGCCTCTGGATCCTTTAACCATCCTACCACCAGCTTAGAATCTCCTTCAATGATCAATTTATTGAAATTCAACTGTCTTGTTAACTGTACCCCTTGGAGTACAGCAAGAAATTATGCTCTAATGGAGTCGCCCATACCTGCTGCTCCTGAGAATAATGCAACAACATTTCCTTCTTTGTTTCTGAGCACACCTCTACTCCTGATGGACCTGGATTGCCCTGACTGCTCCTGTCAAAGTTTAGTTTATAAAACCTTCTACAGGGGGTGACCAAAGGGTTGTTCAACTATGCCCTTCTAACAATTTCCTTGATACAGTAATGGAAAAGTGAAAGAATTGAAGAAACCAAATTTCTTCAAATTCTTATACTGGTAGCAATTTCATAATTCTTGGGTGATTCAACTTCTGGTTAGTAAGTTTTTTAAACATTTTTTCTAGTCTATTAGTGTATTTGGAATTGGGTAAATTGTCAGAGCCAAACTAGTTTAAAGATACATATTAGAGTGTTTCTAGGATTTGGAACACTTGTACAACGGGACCAAGATCTTGTGAATCTGGCATATTTTGAGAAAGTTATGCTGTTTTAGTAACAGGGAATAAATCGGTGTTGGGATTTGAAAGCTTCTATTTTTGGGTTTTTGTGGGAGTTGGATCTGCTTTATTTAGTTTTAGTGGATTAGAAATATGGATATAGAGTTTGTTTGGGAGATATGCTCTGTATTTGATTGTCCCTAAGGTTTATATATTAGTTTGTCTTAGTTCCATAATTTGAGGATAATAACCTGATAATCAAAGTAGAAAACCAGAAAAAGAGAGGAAGACAGATAGGGGAAGAAGAGGAAGATAGAGTTCAATGGGAGGAAACGGAATACTGGTGTCATTAGCTTTTACCTATATTTATAATGACTGTCCATAATTGCAATACAAAAACTATTCTACTCTTCACATATGAATGAAATATCA